TCTAAATAAAAACAATAAATATTTTTCTAAAACTTACAAGAAAAAAATTAGAAAGTGGCTCTCACTAGGTAAGTATCACCTACTTACCTAGGTGATGTGTGTGGCTGCTTATGAGAAGAAGTCATCTGCAGGCAAGCAGGGAATATTAGAGGTCACTAAGGAAAAAAATACAAAGGGAAGTAAAATAACTCTCAAATAAAGCACTAAAAACGTGAAAACTTCACAAGATCAGACATGGAAAATGAGCTTGATGTCGCCTCGTGCTGTTGGTAACGACAGACTGCTTCTCCCTCAGGAGATGTTCCCAGCCGAATCACCTTTCAGGTGACCAAGCACATCTACCCTGCATAGGTGACACTGTGTCTTTCTAGGATTTGACTTAGCATCACCTACGCCTAATGTTATCATTAAAAAAAAAAATAAGCTGGGCGTGGTGGTTCACTCCTGTGATCCCAGCACCCTTGGGAGGCTGAGGCAGGTTGATTGCTTGCCCTCAGGAGTTCAAGACCAGCCTGAGCAAGAGTGAGACCTCATCTCTACTGAAAACAGAAAAAGTAGGCCAGGATTGTGGCAGGCACCTGTAGTCCTAGCTACTCAGGAGGCTGAAATAAGAGGATCGCTTGAGCCCAAGAATTTGAGGTTACTGTGAGCTGTGATGCCAGGGCACTCTACCCAGGACAAGAGAGTAAGGCTTTGTCTCAAAAAAAAAGAAAAGAAAAGAAAAGAAAAGAATATTCTTACCTTCTTTGATGTTTCTTTACTAAAAGACACAACAAAGCAGGAAGCTCTTTAATGCACAGGCACGATCCCCATCTTGTCTGCAGAGCCACCTGAGGGATCCTGGGCTGATCTGGTTTCTTCCAGACCTATAGGACCAATCAGCAAGCCCTAGTCTGCCTGAAAGGCAATGATGGCCAAGAGTTCCCAGTGACAGGGCTCCCTGCCTCACAGTGCCAGGAAGCCCTGACTTCTGTCAGATCAGGCCCCCATGGAGGGTTTGAATAGCGGGGTGTCTCTCACACACCAGGCCCAAATCCTGAGCCAGCTTCTCCAGTCCCACCCACGCCAGGACTAAGTCCTCTTACCTCCGGATTAGGAGGCTGTGTTTCCCAAGCCACAGAGAAGCCTGAGCTCCTTAGCCCAGAATAGAAGAGTGCTGACGAGACGCGGCCCGGGGTCCGGGCAGAAGCCTGGCAGAAGGCCCAGGCATTCCTCCTTGTGACTGGCTATTTTTCTATTTGCAAATCTGACTGACATATCCTGCCCTTTCTATGGATACTTTTTACTTAGGATATAACCCAAACTGTTAGTAATCACTGTTCCCGGACAACTTAGTTTATCAACTACTCTGTGATGTTTGTGTGTGTTTTAGTAGAAACTAAACACACCGTGGGAATTTGCAGCCATGGACGGTGGAAAATAGAGGCATACACGGCTGGATACTTTCTGGACAGCCCTCAGATACCAAGGTCAAGCTCGTTAATTGTGTTACTCAAATCCTCTTGGTTCTTATTTATTCTTCTCGGGCTACCTATCTTTGAAAGAAGCGTTTTGAAGATTTCTGTGGCAAGTACAAACTTAGCAATTCCTCCTTGTAGTTAAGTCTTTGCATCATGTTTTGAAGCTATATAATTAGATATTACATTAAACTACATAAATCACCATTGGCCATTATTTAATTACCCATGAAAGCATATGGTTGTTTGAATTTTTTGGCAGAGGGTGACTTATCAAAATTAAATATCACTCTGCCCTTTTAGATCCTTTTGCCTTGACTTCTCTTTGGTCTGATGTTAATGTTTTCACATTGGTTTACTTTTGTTTGTGGTCAACTGCTAACACTCTTTTCCCAATTTCACTAGAAGACTGATAAAATCCTGTATTCCTGAGAGTATAAAAAACCCATCCTCACCATACTCTATTGGTGGGAATTGTTGAGCTAAAAGGAAGAAGCTAAAGCACAAAATATAATTTAGAATTTACTCCAGTCAAAATGAAGGGCCAGGTGAGATGGTTGCAGGCCTGTGACCCCAGCACTCTGGGAGCCTGAGGTGGAGGATCTGAGGATCGCCTGAGCTCAGGAGTTTGAGGCCAGCCTGAGCAAGGAGACTCATCTCTACTGAAATAGAAAAACTAGCCGGGTGTGGTAGTGGGTGCCAGTAGCCACAGCTACTCAGGAGGCTGAGGCAGGAGGATTGTTTGATCTCAGGAGTTTGAGGTTGCTGTGAGCTATGATGACACCACTGTACTCTAGCCTGAGAGACAGAGCAAGACCCTGTGTCAAAAACAAAACAAAAGAAAACAATTCCACAACCACTTCCAGGTTGTCCTGGGGAATGCTCCATCAGCCATTGTTACAAGCAGGTTTTTAAAGGGGACAAGGAGATACAAAGTTGTTTGGTGGGAATTCTGGACTGATTCCTTGACCACAGAGGTAGCAGTGGTCAGGGCCTGGTGCCCACTGTAAACTGTAGGGTGTGAGTCGTGGTGTCTGGCACAGGCATTCTGTGGCTGCTTGTCGTCAGTTAGTCTAGACCCCAATAGATAGTGGCCTCCAGAGATAATCACTTGGCTTGAGGGGAATGACAGGACTGCTGCTTCATTCCAATGCCCTTCTGGGCCTGATAATTGAAAAGCGCTCACATTCCTCAGATAAAAACATTTCTTTTCCTATTTTTCCCCTCAGAATATAAATTATAAAAAAAAAAAGTAAATTGGGCCAGGCACGGGTGGCTCACACCTGTAATCCCAGCACTCGGGAAGCCAGGTGGCTGGATTGTCTGCGCTCACAGGTTGGAGACCAGCCTGAGCCAGAGGCAGACCCCCATGTCTAAAAAATTAGCCAGGCATTGTGGCAGCCACCTGTGGTCCTACTCAAGGGAATTACTTGAGCCCAAGAGTTTGAGGTTGCTGTGAGCTGTGACACCACAGCACTCTACCCAGGATGCCCAAGTGAGACCCTGTTTCAAAAAAAAAAAAGTAAATTGTCTTACCCTTTTGGAATTAAATAAATTTCAATTGTAATTTATTACATTATGTATTAAATTACATATTTGGTGTTGAGACTCAGAAAACAATCCTCTCAAATGAAGGCCTCAGCAGCAGACGTTTCTCTCTTCCCTTCTCCTGCCCGCCTGGCTTTCAGTTGCCTCCTCCCGTAAGGTGAGACCCAGAAACCAGAAACCCTTTCCCCCAAGCCCAGCCACAAAAGCGAAAATTATCACTCCAACTTTCCCTCTGCCTTTCGATGTAAAAACTGGCCTTAATTAAAACATTATCTGGGCTCGGCGCCTGTGGCTCGAGTGGCTAAGGCGCCAGCCACGTACACCTAAGATGGCAGGTTCGAATCCAGCCCGGGCC